CGTCTGTCAGGTTGAATAAGAGGATTGAGTGAGACCACGCAGTGAATGAATGGTTTGTCCTATTAAACCTATTATTCATGACTCAATGCTACGGGACTGAATTAAACTTCATTCTTCGTAAACTTGTGACATCCCGTCCTACAATATTTTTCAACGATGTTTCTCTAACTTCTATTGAATAGAGTTCTATAACCCTGGGATCTCAAATTTAATAAACAATTCAATCTTTTGAGACTAAAACAACAAGAAAGTGCTCATCGTCTTGAGATCCCTCTGATCAGCAGCGTAATAAGCAATAGGAGGCTACAGCCAGTGGATCACAGATTTCAACTAGTGATCCATTTCGGATCGATGATACTAACTTGAAAAATCTGGTGCGCGCAACACACAACCTTCACTTACTGCTCTGCTTCAAAAAGAAATTCTTGTATGGCAAAATTACAAGAAGTTTTTGAAACGCATTTTAATAGTGCTTAACCTCGAAATATATATTTTTGATTTTTATTTATTTTTATCAATACAAAAACTTCTTAGGACCATTAAAATAACATAAATCCTATTTATTATATCCGTTATAGGCAATAAAAATCACCTCATCAGTAATCAATTTTCCGAATATATTTAAAATAAAGTTATTTTGTACTTTAGAGATGTCAATTACACTATACCGATATCTTGCAGATATCTACGTATTGCTTATTTGTACAAATACCTGAACTCACCCGTATGTAATCATCTTTAAATTCATATATCTACTTCAAGATCATATATTTACCACAGTACCTTTATTTTTAATCCTATATATTATTTCTTAAGAGTCACGTTAGGAGTGCCTTCACTGGGAGGTTTCTCCAATCACGCATTCACGCTAATCGCGGAGAGGAGATTCGCTAACGAACATCACATTTACAAAATATGCCAACAAGCATTTGTAAAATTGCTCAATAAATAAATTTATTATTATTATTATTTCTATAAGGTGTTTTTTTTTTTTGGTCAGTACGCCATAACTTTGTTAATTCTTCATCAATTCCAATGATTGACCACTCATTTTGAAGATATTCTTCTCCTTCACGTGAGAAAAATAGTCCCATCCACCCGAAATTTCTTGAAAAAAAGTTACAGAGGAAAAGGAACTTTATTTATATAATAACTCAAAAAGTACGCATTTTTTTCTTATTGTACCCATGATAATTAGAAAGATTACTAAATTACCTACAAAACAAAATAAATCGTAAAAATCAATTAGAAATATGTATAATTTAAACAATTTGTATTGACGGAAGGAATAAAGTGTGTTGAAATATTTTTTTAAGGAGAAACAGAGTTGAGATTTGTATTTCACAGCTCGAAAGACCCTCGAATACGAATTTTCATTGCGATCAAAAATAAATTTTTTTTCTTACTTATTTCACCTAAGGCGGGAGTGGGTTTAACTTCAATATTCTTCCAAATATTCACACGAAATTTTGCAGGGATGTAGGGCCCTATAAACTACACGAAATGAGACAAACTGTACCTTCCTAAATTATTTATAATTCAGGTTATAAAATAAAAACCTGTTAGAAGTTTTTACTTATTTACTCATTATAGAGGTGTTAAATCAAAAGCTTATTTATACGGTTTTGAAGAGCTATAATTCAGCTTTTCAACGGCTGTACAAACATTCAATTAGGATAAAATCCTGAGGAGTTATGAATTTTTTAGTTAAAAGCAGGCAAAAACATCATAACGAAAAGTGAAGTTGTTGCCATGACGACTATCTCAGCACAGCTCTTCTATGCTATATATTGTTTCTAAAAAGTGTTTTTTTGTCGGTACGCCATAACTTCGTCAATTCTTCATCAAATCCAATGATTGACGACTCATTTTGAAAATATTCTTCTCCTTCACATGCGAAAAATAGTCACATCCCCCCGAAATTTCTGGGGAAAAAATTATAGAGGAAAAGAAACTTTATTTGCGAATAACTAAAAAAGTATGCATTTTTTTCTTGATTGTACCCATGATAATTAGAAAGATTACTAAATTACCCACAAAACAGAAAACAAAATGGTAATAATCGGATAATTATTAACAAAAGATACGGTCCATTAGTTTTGGTATACTTAATAATGTCTTCCTGTTAAAAGGTATTGCATTTAGGAGTAGAATAGTCTGATATATTAATTTCATTATTTCTTAAAGCCATTTGGTTGTTCTTACACTTTATTTTTTTTAATGATTTAGAAAATTCCATGATCGGAGCATTATTTTGCCTTTATTACTTTTATTATCTTTCCAGTCAGTGTTTAAAAATAGGTTCTAGCAAAGCAATTTGTACAAATATTTTGGTCTATTATGCTTAATGGAATATTGTAATCTACAAAGGAAAAAATATTAATTCCTTCTACACATAATACATACGAACTACTTATTTCCATATTGTTTTGCTATTTTTTCACTAAACAAAATATTCTGTGAATTATTCGCACGGACCCAACTAGTATTAAGAATTTTTATTATTATGAACAATTTACATGCTTCTTTATTTTAATATTAAGATTTAGACAACTTTGTAAATTAATTTATTTTTAATTATCATTTAATTATTCACAATCGCCAGACAATTGTCATTTCTCTGTTCATTGTAGTTATTCTGAGTTGACTAAATGTCCCAGAATAAAATTTACTTTCTTTCTAAAAATGTTATAACTGCATAAGTCTATTTGAATCACATAACTCCAGTCTCTGAGCTTTTTAAACAAAAAGTCATTTGAACCTACATGTATTTAATTATGAATAAATAAAGTAATACTGCACAATAAAAATTATAGAAATTATAGAAAATAAAATAAAGATTAGTAAATTTAACAAGAAATACAAAGACATAACTATGAACAATATTTACAATCAAGCGAAGGAAATCCAATCAAGCCTTTATCTTCCAACTAAGGAGGGAAAAGCAAGAATCCAGGAGATCACTTTTTAAATTCTTTTTTTTTACTCTTTTATATGTACTAAATGTAAACTTTTAAATTTTTTTTTTAGTTTGAAAAAAGTATTTAAAATCCACCGAATCAAGGCAATGACATTATTTAAAATACTATTTCATTATAATTGTGTAAATGAAGAAGTGAAATATTTTTTTTTTTTTTTGTTTATTTAATGGAATTTACAACTGTATACAAATACAACAAGTAAATATGCGCAAATATAAACAATGGCATGTACAGGCTTGAAGAGTTACTACCCAGTGGTAGCACTCTCTAAATAATTTTAAGTAAGAAGATCACGAGGCCATCTCCTTTTCAGACGCCTAGGAGGATTATCAGGAATCGAGAAAGAAGCAAGAGTGGAAACAAGCGGGTTTGGATGGGACTGAAGTTTATCATGAAAGGATAGATATCTGGCTCGAGCTAAATCAGCGACATATGGTACATTAAGGTCTTTATGAATGGTTTTATTTGTGACAAAGTATCGAGCATTAAGGATTTTACGGAGGATTTTGGATTGTAAGGATTGGATACGATAGGAATTCGATGGTTTGGTGGAGCCCCAAAGCTCAAGAAGTGAAATATAAAAATATTTTATGTATATATTTATAACCTTAAATACATCTACTGCAGTTTAATAATTCTAGATCTGATATTATATTTCAATAATTAGGTAAAATGCACTTCAAAAATTGCATAATATACCAACATTGCCAGAAAATAATTTCTATTATTAACCTATAAATACATCTACTGCAGTTTAATAATTCTAGATCTGATATTATATTTCAATAATTAGGTAAAATGCACTTCAAAAATTGCATAATATACCAACATTGCCAGAAAATAATTTCTATTCAAAGTAGAACGGTAAGTGAAAAATGTGTGTGCAGGCACCAGATTTTGTTATTATTGGGGTACCCTCTCTCCCTATCTTCCTCTCTCATAATGAAACTTCGTATTTCAGACTTCTTCAAAAAGTTTCATATTGATATTAATCCAATGTTTTGTAAGCAGTGGTAGATAGCATTTGATGCTTAGAGTTAAGGATTGGAATCAAGAAACTCACTAAAACTCTGATAGGAGAGGCAGAGCAGACCAGTCTACAAGTAAATGAAGACAAAACAAAATATATGATAAGCCGAAAATTCCACCTCAATAAAAGGATCTGCGAAGAAGAAAAATCATTTCCGAGAGTAGAAAAATTCAAATACCCCGGATCCACAATAACATCAATGAATGACCATCAGGCAGAAATAGACAAGCGTATAACTAGCGAAAACAGAGCTTTCTTCTCCATCTCAAAGGTATTGAAATCCCAAGAAATCTCGAGAAGTTCAAATTAAGAGTGTACAATGCACAATGATAAAGCCAGTTCTAATATATGGCTGTGAGACCTGGACACTAACCAGCACCCTAGAAAACAGTGTTGAGAGATTTGAGAGAAAAATCCTCCCCACGATAACCGGAGCGATCTGGGATCTGAAAACTAACACATGGAGAAGAAAGGCCAATAAAGAACTGCTTACAGAAATCATTGCTCGTAGCAATCCATCTGTAAGCCTCTAGGTAACAATGGATGCCTCAATAGAAGGCAAAAGACCAACTGGAAGGCCAAAAAGCAGATAGATAGATAGAATCAACAACGATGCAATAGAACTACGTCCAGATAAAGAAAGGCTTGCCTTAAGTTAAGGCGGCAAAAGATGTACATGATCTTTAATGCCAACATAAAAAAAAGATTGGAGTTGTAAGAATCCATTCATGTAACAGAACAATAATAATAAATTTACACATCATTAAGAATAATTGTGGGTAAATGGTGAATAATGAAGAGAAGAATGGTCGGTATGACTGTACTCCATCAACCTTTTGGAAGCAGCCTTGATGAAGGCCTGAACTTAAGGTCGAAACTTCGGGAAATGTCAAAATAAATATTATCATTTATTTTTGACTTCTTATTTCTGACTAATCACCCCAACCATTCTTCTATTCATCATTAAGAATATAAATATCTAATACTACCTGCTCTACCAACTGTGGATCCTTGATGAACAGGTTTGGTTTCCGGAAGAGGAACGTTCCGCCGTACTTATTGTCGCCGAAGAACTCATACTGCATCTGCATGTCATCTATCGTCGTAGTTTTTCTTATTATTCTTTTCCATAAGTTACCGAAAAATGGAACCGGCTTCAGGAATGGGACTTTCCGATCGGCCCAGAAGGAGTACGTCGAAGTGGCATAACGGTACAAGAAGTACACGAGTACACCTGCTACAAGCAAGAAGTCTGAACCGGGGAAGAAGAACCCCATCGTCACTGAAAGTAACTGAATGATATCTGTTATCGTTCTGCAAAGTGCCCTGTTTATATTCGTTATCGCTTCGCGAATAAGATAGCAAGGAAATTTGACTGTACGTAATTGAATGATAATTTTTTTTAAAAAATATGTGACTCATTCAAATTTTAAACGAGACTTTTTTTTTCATCAAATATAAGCTGGTTATTCACAAATTTTAGAACAATTCTTTTATTTAAACTATTTATTGTGAAGTAGGATTTATTTTCTTCTGAAATTTCATTTAATGTGTTTTATGGTCACCACAAGTCATTTCTATTTCTTATTTCTAAGGAATCATTGTGATTTTAGGTATGTAACCTCTATTGTTCTTGATTAATAAATAATAAACATTTTTATAATCTATTTACTGATAAATATCAGGGTCGTCGCAATGGTAGGGCGACCAGGGCAGTCGTCTCGGGGTTGCCACTGATTGGAGACAACAACTAAAACTAATGAACAGGAAAAACAACTTAAATAAGATTTGGTTAAGAAAGTATATGTGGTCAACAAATTTTTAAAACAAATACTCATACAATAGACTAATTGTAAATTATTTTTTAATAAGCGAATTTAGGAAAATCCTGTATATCAACAATAGGTAAATAATAGCATACATTTTCATAATCTGACACTGTAGCCTGACGTAAAGTTTTATGCTGATTATAATTGAGGGTTGATGGTTGACTGTAGTGAATAATAAAGAGAAGGATGTTTTTTTTGGAGGGATGGTTGGAGTATACATTTTTTTTTTTTTAATATATTGTCTTATATGTTTATATAAGGTATAATTTATCGAAAAAAACGTTTTATGCTACTTATGTGGTGTCGCACGACCTTAGACTTAAAAAGGGGCGTTTGGGGGATATAATTTTTAAAATTTTATCGCGGGATCGAAAATATGAGTTTTTTTTTATAAAAACATTTATTTTTAAAAAGTTTAATTTAAACTTATTTATTTATTTTTTATTTTACGTGAAGTATTTATTGAACTTGGACTTTTTCATTATGATAACTTTTTGATGAGGTTATTTATAAACTTTAACCAGATTACTGTTTTAATTAAAGTTCACTACAAATGTTATTTATTTATTTTATTTTATTTTTTTAAATAAATATTATTATTTATTTTTGCCATTTTTATTATGACTGATCACCTCAACGATCCTTCTCTTCATTATAGTGATTATAGTTTAAAGGGAAAAGTGTAAGGTCGCAATACTTTCCCGTACTATATATTACTTAAATAGGTAAGTGAAAGTACAAAATCAAAATATGTTGTATCAGCCAATGAAAATCTATGTAACTGTTGTTAGAGAAAATTCAAATGTGATTTTTTTACAAATTTGAAAAACCATATATTTATATTTATAAAATTGTATGAAATATATAAAAAAATTATTTCTGAAATTCTTTTTTTTTTCACTTAAGAACCTTTTATAATTTTTTTTTTTATTATTTCTTAATGATATTTACAACTGTATTTAATAAATACATCTAGTAAATTTGAACATAATGGATATAATGACATGAAGACACTTGCTGAGTAACTACCCAATGGTAGCACTCTAATGATATGTCTACATTAGATCACGGGGCCATCTTCTTTTGAGACGCCTCGGAGGGTTATCAGGAATTGAAGAGGAAGCAAGGTTAGAAATGAGAGGATTGGGATGGTTATGAAGTTTATTATGGAAGGACAGGTATCTGGATTGGGCCAGAATCCTTAATCCTTGGGCCAAAAGAAACATTAAGGTCATTATGGATGTTTTTATTTGTAACAAAGCAGAGAGCATTGAGGATTTTACGAAGGATTTTGGATTGTAAGGATTGGATACGTGAGGATTCGATGGTTTAGTGGAGTCCCATAGCTCAACTCCGTAAGTCCAAATAGGTCTTATTATAGTCAAGTATATGAGTCTTTTGTAATTAATGGGAAATTTAGAGCGTTTGTCTAGTAAGTGCTGAAGTAATCGGAAACATCGGGCGGTTTCTTGTCGTTTCAGTCTAATATGACCTTGTATAAATAAGTTTCAGAATAACAGTTATAGTGAACTTTTATTAAAACAGTTATTTGGTTAAAGTTTATAAATAACTTCATCAAAAAGTTATCATAATGAAAAAGTTCAAGTTCAATAAAGACTCCACGTAAGATAAAAAAAAAAATAAGTTTAACTTAAAACTTTTTAAAAATAAATGTTTTTATGAAAAAACTCATATTTTCGACCCCACGATAAAATTTTATAAATTATACCTCACAAATACCCCTTTTTAAGTCTAAGGTCGACACCACATAAGTAACATAAAAAGTTTTTTCGATAAATTATACGTTATATAAATATATTAGACAATAAATTAACAAAAATATATACTTTCATTCATCCTAAATTCATAATTAATAATTTTGTTGTTCTACTTTGACTGATTAGAGTAACATTATGTTGAAATCAGGGAGCAATTTAAAAAGATATTTATTATTTTTAAGTTAAAAAATACTAACATACACAATTGTAGAGTGCAGTTGCTAAATATAGCGCCCCCAACGTGCTTGGCAATAATATATAAGATGATGCAACGTTGGAAATGTCGGGAAGCCACTGTTAATTTATCATATTAACTGCATAATTCATACGTTAATCATGTTTTATTCAATAGCAATGAACAATTTTGAAAAAACTTTTCAATTTTTTCAACAGTAGGAAAAAAATTCCCAGCAATTACAAAAGTTGGAACGAAATCTCCCAGAACTGGAACTGAAGAAGACACGACATATTTATTTGTTAAAGGAATATTTAACAAACATAAGACAAGGAACAAGTTTAGTTTCGTTTTTATATTTTGTCCAATCCATATGATGGGCAATCTGATTCCAAATTGGATGAGATTTCCAGGGATTGTACTAATAGCTACTTCGAATGGCGAAATATATAATTTAAAGCACAAATAAAGACGCACAATATCTCCATAGTTACCGTACAGCACTGCCAAAGACAAGTAGAAATTATAGACTATACAGTATGTTTCAGGGATAAGTGACCAAATTGCAAAAATTAACTTGAGGACTTAAACAAGAAAAAAATTACCTCTAAAGGTATGTCCTTGAAGGATTGAAACAGGGCTGCTGCCTTTCTCCCCTGATTTTCAACATTTACATAGAACAAGCCCTTAAAAACTGGAAAAGATCGTGCTGTGGAATGGGTGTTCAAATCGGGAATGATGTCATCTACAATTTGCAGTATGCCGATGATCAAGTCATAATCGCATCGGATCCGGATGATGTTAGCTATATGATGAGGAAGTTGCTAGACACGTATTCCAGATGGGGTCTGAAAATCAGTGAAAGTAAAACAGAGTATATGGTTTTCAACGCTCCAATTTTGCCCCTTGAAATTGATGACTGGACGCTAAATGTCAGCCAGCAGTTCAAGTACCTCGGATACTGGTTATCTTCAAAGGGTGGTAGTGAGGTTGATATCGAACATAAAATAAATAATGGGAAAAGAATAATAAGTTCGATAAATTCAACCCTATGGAGTAAAGAAATAAGATTAGAAACTAAAAAGAAGATATACCATTCCTTTGTAGAAAGCGTAGCCACTTACGGATCAGAAGTCTGGACACTGACAAAAAAGTTGGAAAATAAGTTGCTTTCCATGGAAATGGATTTCTGGAGAAGAAGCTGTGGCATATCTAGAATCGAGCGGATTCCAAACGCAGCTATTAGAGACAAGGTCGGATGTCAAAAGAACATCCTTCACCTGATCGGGACCAAACGGCTAAAGTGGTATGGCCACTTAATGCGGATGGATGAGAACCGCTGGCCAAAGAAAATTTATAACTATATGCCACCTGAAAGAAGGAAGCGTGGAAGGCCAAAGAAGAAATGGACAGAGGACGTGGAGGAAAGCATGGCAGCCAGAGTGCTTCGTGAAGGAGATTGGATGGACAGGGAGCAGTGGCTTTTGGGTGTTGGAGATATGACTCCTTAAGTTGTATAAAACCCAAATAAAAAAAAAAAAAAAAAAAAGGTATGTCCGCAAACGCTTTGTTTAGGAGATATTTATACCTAAAGATTTTCGTTGTTATGCATTATTCATGTTATATGAAATAAATAAAATCTGTTTATTGCTACAACTACTTTATTAATTAAATGTAAACATTAACATTCTTATTAAATGTTGTTAAAAGTTAAGGTATGTCCGCAATCGCTTTGTTTGGATGATGGATTAGGTAGAATACTAATATGGCCTTTTATCCCTAACTCTATAAAAACTATTGCCAACATAAGGTCTAATACTATTTGGAATTAGCATTGTGAACACTCAATAACATTTATCAGTTTGTAAGAGGCTTTCGCAGAGTACTCATCATTATGCCTTCCATTTATACTAATGGTGAATATTCCGATATGGTGTTTGTATACGGTTTTTGCAATGGTAATGATAATGCTGCCCGTCGTGAATATGTAAGGCGATTTCCGAATACCAAACAAGTCTATAGCTCCATGTTTTAACGTCTTAGAGAAACTGGTACATTTGCTATAATATTATGTGCTGGTGGTATTTTTGCCCCTTCACTTTGTCAACAACAGCCCAAATCACTTTGAACAATATTTAATATGAATTTAATGTTTAAGTTTAATTAATAAAATAGTTGAAACAAAAAAATAAGTTTTATTTACTTATAATAACGTAAATAATTCATAACATTGAAAATCTTTAGGTTTGAATATCTCCTAAACAAAGCGTTTGCGGACATACTTTCATAGGAATTTGTTTTCTTGTTTTGAGGCTCTTAGTTCATATTTTCAGTTTGGCCACTTAACCATGAAACATCGTAAACCAATGACTTCCTGTCCTTCAGTATCCTTTAACAACACCTCACTTATTCCTGTTGAACAAATCCGTTACCTAGGACTCCATCTGGACAAACGACTAACTTGGAATCCTCATACCAGACTGAAACGACAAGAAACAGCTCGACGTTTCCGACTACTTCAACACTTACTAGACAAACTCTCTAACCTTCCAATCAATTATAAAAGACTGATTTACATGACTATAATAAGGCCTATTTGGACTTACGGAGTTGAGCTATGGGGCTCCACCAAACCTTCAAATTCCTCTCACATACAATCCTTACAATCCAAAATTCCTCGTAAAATCCTCAATGCTCCTTACTTTGTTACAAATAAAATTATCCATAATGACCTTAATGTTCCTTATGTATCAGATTTGGCCCAATCCAGATATCTGTCCTTCCATAATAAACTTCATAACCATCCCAACCCTCTTGTCTCTAACCTTGCTTCCTATTCGATTCCTGATAACCCTCCGAGGCGTCTAAAAAGAAGATGGCCACGTGATCTTCTAATATAGACATATTGTTAGAGTGCTACCAATGGGTAGTTTCTCAACAAGTGTTCCATGTCTTTATACCAATGTGCGAATTTACCAGATGTATTTTTTGTATACAGTTGTAAATATCATATAAATAAATAATAAATAAAAAATAAACCATGAAACATCCTGTATAATAGTTTGTATAATCCAACTATCCTATCGTAGCTGAACTTAAACAATTATTTATTGAATAAGAAAAAAGATAGATGCAGCTAGTGTCTTTAAAAAAAAAATCTGTCCATTAAATCTGTATAACTTCCTCATCATTTTTATTGAATATATACAATTTTTTTTGTTTTTTAGGAAATTTCGTTAGCTTTTAAATGGCCATCAAGAAAGAAATGTGTACTTTTTGAGTTATTTGATAATTTCACAAGTTGTAACTTTTTTTACCGTTTTTTTTTTTCATCAAGTATTTATAAATAAATTTAAAGGGCTTTGTTAGCCAAGTTTCATTGAAATCCGTACAATCCGTGGAATTTGATAAAATTGATATGGAAACATGAGGTGTGCTGATAGGTACTTCAAAGCTTCCATATCAATATAATCAAATTAGCGCAAAATGGTATGTGTGTGTTAACAGTCAAGCTCAAAAATGAAAAGTCGTACGAAAGTGAAATTGCATATTTAACGTTTTTATATTCCAGGGATGTTACAGCAATTTTTCTTCAAAATCGGCTAACCGGAAGTGGCACCTTATATAAATGGACTAAACACATGTTTACGATTTTCTCGAAAACGGCTCAAACGATTTTGATTAAATTCATTTTATCAGTGTAAAATTAATCAGTTTTAAATAAAACATAGTTTTTATTCTGATTGATGTTCTCTAACAAAGCTTAAATGGCTAATTTTTAAAATTAGCTTCCCTTAAAGTACCTTTAATTTTTTTTATTTTAAACAATTGACCATTTCACGTTAATCTCTAATATAAAAAGTAAATAAATATAAAATATGAAAGAATTTGATAATTAACTAAAAGATAAATAAGAGATCCTATCGGAGAATAGTTATAATTGAGGAACCAAAGAAAAACGAGCGCACCCGAGCTCGTCCGAAAAATTAGAACACGCTTCCATACGTAACATGAGCTTAATATAATACAATATTATGTAAATATACATATGCGGTTTTCATAAAGGCTATTTTTGGTAATATTTAATTGTATAGAGTAGTTATACAAATAAAAAAACCCACAATGAAATATAAATAAATATAGCGTCCATGATTTTTACTTTCACTTCTCCTTTATCTAAAAATAACTATTTCTGCTAAGAGGGTGTTAAGTGAAAGTTGTGTGATGCGCGCATCACACTTATATTTTATTCAACAAACATATGTATATGTCCTGTTTTTTCAAGTCGAATCTTCTGCTTGTAAACCTGGATCCCATAACCTATTGCAAATGTTGACGCTTCACGCCAATGATTTTATTTTACATTGTAGCAATAAAATACTGATTTATAAACTTAAAAAATCTGGTGAGCGCATCACACAAATTTCACTTACTGATCAACTTTGAATAGCAATTATTTTCTGGTCATGTTGGGCTATTATACAATTTTTGAATTGTATTTTTAACTGAGCTAAAGCTAAAAAATTGCATCTAACAAATCATAAATATCATTAAAATAACAAAAGTATTATTTATTTTATCACCGGTTTATTAAAGATTGTACGATCCGTTGATTATGGATTGTACGACTATTAGTTATTAAACTTTTATTTTCCATTGTAAAACAGAATTAAGACAGGTCAAAAGTTGTCACACTAATTATAAGTGGATACTGTTCGAATATCACAAAAAGAAATTTCATCAAACTATTCAGTAATTTAATTTTATAAAAGATTACATAATGATTTTCCGGAATAAACGCATGATAAATACCTAAATAGTTAAACATAATATCAGATCTAGAGTTATTAAACTACAGTAAACATATTTTAGGTTATAAAAATATCGATAAAATATTTTTATATTTCACTTCTTCTTTCACACAAGTACAATGAAAAAGTAGAGGATACTGTTGGAATATCACAAAGGGAAAATTCATGAAATTATTCACTAATTTCATTTTCTAAAAATTTAGATGACAATATTTCGAAATAAACGGATGTTGATACCTAATTATTTAAATATAATATCAGATCTAGAATTATTAAATTACAGTAAATGTATTTAAGGTTATAAATGGCTTTATACACCCATGAAATAATTTTATATTTACTTATTTTTTCACACAAGTAAAATGTAATAGTTTTTTAAACAATGACATTGCCTTGATAAAGTGGATTTTAAATATTTTTTTCAAACTTACAAAAAAATTTCAAAGTTTAAATTTAGTAAGAATTTCATTTAATCTCCTTGAAAACATATGATTTACGTTAAATATTATTAGTTTTCAAAAATTATTATTTATAATTTGTTTGCCAATCTCCGTTACCTTTTACAACTTTCTATATTAGATATATTTTTTTCTAAAATTCTACGTTTTCCAACGATATATTATATATTATCCTTCCGAGTACTATTTCCGGAGATTCATTTTTGACCTGGATAAGCATTTTTTTTTCTCCTTTATTCAATCATCAAATTCTTTCAAAAGTTACATTTAGCATTTTTTCGTAACTCTGAATAATGTTAGATGATTAAATTTTCAAAATAAACCATATTAAAGGTACTTTAGAGGAAAACATATATGAACATTGGGCATATAGCCCTGTAAAGCGAAATTAACGGGGATAAGACCTGATTTATATTAAAGAGCACTTAATTATACAATGATACACCAAGTTTAATCAAACTCGTTAAAGCCGTTTTTGAGAAAATTGTAAAAATGTGTTTCGCCGTTGATATAAAGTGGCACTTCCAGTTAGCCGATTTTAAGGAAACAATTGCTGTTACATTTAGGGCATATGCTTATCTTAAATACGTAATATCAGTTTCCCACGACTTTTCGTTTTTGAGCTAGACTGCTAACATACACACACACACACACACACACACACACAGACCATTTTTCGGAAGTTGGTTATTTGGATTCGGTTATAAGGTGCTTTAGAGGAAGAAGTTTTTAATGGGCATTGGGGCCCTGTTAAGCGACATCAATGAAAATAAGATCTAGCTGATATTAAAGACCATTTAATTATTCATTGATATTACAAGTTAAATAAAATTGTAAATAAAAGCCGTTTTCGAGAAAAAAAAAGTGTAAATCGATTATATAAAATGACACTTCCTATGCATATACCTACTGTAAATACGTAGTAGCAGTTTCGAACGACTTTTCGTTTTTCCACTAGGCTGTTAACATATATACAAACACAGGTCATTTTGTGGGACTTGGTTATTTGGATTTAGGAAGCCTCAAAACATGTATTTCCGTTGAAAACCCACGATTTGAAATTTCACACGATCGCAATACTTTTTCTTTCTATATATTATATTTAGTACTATATCTATACTGTTACTATATCTGTGGCACCTGTGAAAAGAACAATTTTTTTTTTTTTATTGCCAGAGCTAATTATTCTCTCTTTCTTTGTGTCTGATGGGCTAACCTTTACAGCTATGGCAGAGATAAATATTCCTTTGTGAATCATGGATTGAACCTCGAAAATGAACTTGCATCTGTAAAAATTCCAAATTTCTATTGCTTTTTCCATTAATATGAATTTTGCACTTATACTATGCGCAGATGCCATCGATATATAATTGAAAGGAAAATTATTGAGATTCATTTTTTATTTCTGAAACTCCTTGAGTATATTTTTAACCAAAATTTTCGGTTTTTGATGTAGGTTTTTAAAGTTCTAAACTTACTGCTTTTTAAATTATTGGATTATTCTCCATCCCTCTATCATCCCATATTGAGACTTCGTATTACAACCTTCTCCAAAAAGTTTCATTTTGATATTAAATCTATTTTTTTCAAGCTTGCAAGAAACTAGGATTAGATGATTTATGTTTTAAGAACCGGTCCATGTAACAAGAACAAGTACATCACACAATATTAACAATATAAATATATTTTTTTATTACCTGTTCAACCACCTCCGGATCCTTGATCATCAGGTTGGGCGTTCGGAAGAGGAATCTTCCGCCGAACTTACTGTCGCCGAAAAACTCGTACTGCATTAGCTGATCATCTATCATCGTAGTTTTTCTTATTATTCTGTGCCATAAATTACCGAAGAGTGGTACTGGCTTGATGAATGGGACGTTCCGATCTGCCCAGTACGAGTATGTGGAGGTTGCATATCGGTACAAGAAGTAGAGGAGCACAGCTATTACCAGCAAGAAGTCTGAACCGGGGAAGAATAGTCCCATTGTCACAGGAAGTAACTAAATGTTTCCTATTTTTGTTCTGCCTATAAACTGTCTTGTTTATTTCTGTTATCGCTTCGCAAGTGAGATAGCATGAGAATGCAACTGTACGTAATCAGATAATTTATTTTTTTAATATTACTTTTCACTTCACTATTCGTATCTCAATCACGTTTATTTTTATTAGCTCAGAACACGTAAAGTTGATTACATACAAATCTTATCAGATCAGTATTTTACTTGAAACCATCTATAGTAGAATTTGAACTGTTTTTTTTCTCAATATTGGTTTTATGGTCACTTGAGTTCAAGAAAGTAGCCCTTATAAAAGTTTAGTCATTGCCATTCCGTATTTTTAAAAAATCAGAGTAATTTCTATTCCTTTTGATTAATAAACAATAAACATTTTCATTATCAGTTTACGAATACACAGAGAAATGTATGAAGAGATTAAATACGCACTACACAAACGTAAACAATGACCTTACAGAACTGACTAGGTTGCACCATGTCTATCTCATAGTTGCCAACGTAAGCAATAGTATACTGCAATCTTCTCTCAGACCATGAATTAATCATTAAGTGATTCCCGTAACGGATCCAGGATTTAATTTTGTGGGAGGGGACCTCATTCCTAAAGAGTTTTTTTTATATCTATAATGATAATTATTTTAGAAGAAAAGAAAGAAATCAACTACCTATACGAAATTATGTTTAAGTGATTCTTGAAGTCCTATTAGTTATAAAATTATACTATTAATTATTAATTAGAAAAATTATACTTTTAGAGATAATATTTTTATAATTTTTCATAAGATATGGTTATACTTTTCCATTTTGGGGGAGGGGCTTCAGCCAGGCAGTTCCTCCCCTCTTCTGATGGCCTGCCTGTGTCTGATTCAAATAGAAAAAAATAACAATACAAGTTAATAAATAATAAATATTTTTTTTAACTTTATGCTAATTGAAAATTATTTGTTCTCAAAGCTATTATTCTTACTTATCTGGTTACAAATTAATAAATCATGATTTCTAATTATTTCAGATTAATGAAGTAATTACTAATTTTGTAATGTTGATTTTAAAAAACTAAATATATTGTTTTCAGGTAATTTTAGACTGTTTTTTATGTTCTAGTAGATCAGGATATTTGTTTACCAACGACAGTCTCTATAATTTTTTTCAATACTTTATTCCTAGAGAAGCTTTCATTATAACACATTATAATCAATAAATTTAACAATTAACAATATATAATGTTACATACTTTTTAAAAAAATTTCATGCAATTATTATCATTTTCTTTCCTTACCTTTATCCCTTATTTTTCTATTTTAAAACATAATAGATTGGAACAGTGTTCGTTCTTTGTCTTATATTTTGTCTAAAATTATTTTGAATTTTAAAATTAGTGATTAATTAAGTAAATTAAATAAAATAAAATAAATTGTATTTACTGACTACAGAGAAGAGGGCTCCACTTTGTTCTACATCATTTTACTAAATGCTTATTATGTCTTTTTTTCTGACCAATTTAGCAACTAAAATTTACCCACGTTCCTATTTTATTCGCTAATTTAAAAAATTTGGTTGGCTAATTTGGTTGGTTATTATATTTGAGTAATTTTGTGATGTATGCGCCGCTTCCTGATTTGAATTTAGCTCCTTATAAAGTAATTTTAAAAATTATAGAGACTGTCATTGATTAACTAATATCTTGATATACTTCTTTTCTTTAATCTCATGCTCACATTACCAATTGTTGCAATTCATAGACCAAATATGCAACTATATGAAAGTCTTGTGCAACCATAAGTGGTTTGAATTATAAAAAGTTTTTGTCTTTTTTTTCCATAAAAGAATATAAGTATTGCAACCCTTTCAAAATAATTATTGATCATTGTCTTGGTCTATTATTTCTGTGGATGCTCTCATTCCTGTAAACTAAAGAAGAATTTCAAGAATGTAAACAACTTTCATATTAGGAGGGGGAGGAAGGGTAAGACTAGGATAAAGAAAAATCTCAAGTAAATAAATTATTTCAAACTGTATAATATTATACTAAGTGATTTATTGTTATTACAATTTATAAATATTTTTATAAGAAAAAAAAATATGCATAGAACAAAAAATTATTTTTCTTGGATATTCGGCAAACCTTTTTATTATATTATGTTTTATTTTTTTTCAAATGATATAGGGGAGGAGACCAATGGCCTCTCTTGCGCTCCCCTGTGTCTATGACCAACTTAATTATCAAAAATGTAAACAACAACACCCATGAACAATTTCAGATGAAACTCCTTTTATTTTTTTATTCAAAACTTTATTTAAAATCAAACCACAATAATTTCTCAATGGCAGATTCAACATAGATAAACATATTATTAATATGTGATATAAATATGGTACTGATAATGTTACTGTATATAATCTTTTAAAAATTAGAGAAAATAATTTTACTTCCTTTTTTTCTTTTAAAACTGTTAAATTTTATGAAAATTCTTTGGGCCACTCTAAATAAAAAACAAGCCAAATTAAAAATGCTAAATGATTTTTTTTTTAATATAAAATAAATGGAAAAATAATTCAGTGATAAATGCCAAAACAAATTGGTAAATCAAGCTTTTCTTCATCAATAGAATTTTTAAATTGAAATGGTTGGTTTTCTGCAGTGTAAATAGTAAACAATAACAAGAGAGATTTTTATTTACTCATTAAATTCAGCTAAATATAGAATTCATTTTACTGCAGTCTACTAAATATTATGCAAATTTACTACAACGCTCAGTAGATTAATTAAAAGAACACAACTGTACTTCACTTAATGCAAATATTTACATGATACCATTTATGTTTTCTTTTTTTCAATATTAAGCGATAATTGATACTTTTTAAGTTCAGGTTTAACTTCAATCTTGAAATATGTTCAAAAGTTTAAAATTGTGCAATTGATTATTGAAAATATTTATAGATTTACCTGTTAAGATTTACCTATTATCCCTCAAGTGTAAATATTAATCCAGCAGCTATCATTATTGCTAATAGAAAAATAAGATATGTTTGACTTCTTCCACCTTATTTTTAATAATTAAATTAATAGAAATGGAATAGTTCCAAAAAAGATTTTACAAAATTACACCATATAATGTAGTTAAAACCAAACATTTCAGAGAATGACTTAGCTAAATAAATTGGTGCCGAGGGGAAATTACAATATTGGAGCTCATCCTCTTCCCTCACAAATCAAGGTTATTTGATTCCAGTCCTTTCCCTCCCTCCTCCCTCATTCATTTTTTCACTTGAACCATTCATTGAACGATTTGTTTGTTTTTTAAATTAAAATATTTCATTAAATATTGAATTGTTGATATTTTAGCACCCTTTCCTCTGAGCTATCCCTCAGATTGTATGTGCGTTGATATGTTTTAGAATTGATAATATATTTTATTAAAAGTTTTAAATATTATAATCTGAAATAAGAGTTATAATGAAACTTTTATTTTAAGTACTTCTTTTATTTAATATTGTAATAGGCAATAATCTATTTTCATCAATAGGAAAAAAATCTTGCAAATCTACAATGAAAAGATTGAATTTCTGTTATAACAAAAAAAAATATTAAATACAAAGATATGGCTAAATACATAAAATAAAGATACTAAATAATTTAAATGAATTTAATTTCAAATATATTTTTTTATTTGTTGTAGTCTCTACTCTAGAGGATTATTGGCGGTTATTTTTTTATACTCTATTATAATATTGGGTTTCTATTAAGTATTGGAATAAAGTGGTGACTGCATCTTCTTGTCTCTTAATATCTCCTTCACTGCTATTGGTAGTTTCAGTTTTTGTCGAATGTTGTTGAACTCGTGGCACTCTACTAACAGATGTTTTACTGACTGCGGTTTATTGTCACACTTTTGGCACGTGGATGCTTCTAGTCCTCTGAGAAGGTACCCGTGAGTAAACAGGCAGTGACCAATTCGTATTCGGCACAATATGGTTTCTTCTCTTCTAGATTTTCTTGTGCTTGTGGCCCATTTGTATCACTCTGTTTTTAGTTCTAATAGTTTTGACTGTTTGATTTTCCATTTGTTTACCCAATCTTCCAACAACTTCTTTTTTGTTTCTGTAACTTTTTTTTTTTTTGTATATTTCTTATTATTTTTTTCATTTTGAGGTTGTAGTGTTTGAGTGTATTAAGATGAGGTTGAAGCTGCATCTGCTCTAGCTCAAATACAGCCAAAGAGGTTGAAAACATTTTTGAGGCAGACCCAAGGAAAGAATTTCAAATTTTATGTATTTTTCTATTCTGGAAATTTTATCTTTCTGTAAATTATTTGATACCAGAAACAACTCAAACCCTAAAAGGCTAAATTAAGTTGAAGAATGCAATTTTATGACTTTTTGTGTCTAAAAACATTTCAGCTATACAATTTTGGCATTTTCATATATATATATATATATATATATATATATATATATATATATATATATATATATATATATATATATATATATATATATATATATATATATATATAAGCAAAAAATATTAATAAAAAAACAACTAATAAATGCCATAAATTATGTTCTTAGTAACATTATATGAGCGTTTCATTTGACAGGATGACTAATTCCAATTTCAACATTTTTGAGGAAAGTCATTTTAGTGATATTTCTAGTTGGAAAATTTATAATATTTGTATGTTTATTCCAGAGTTTGTGATTGAAGTGCT